AAATCTTCTTTATTTTTTTTTTAAAGATTTTATTTATTTATTTGACAGAGATAGAGAGAGAGCACAAGTAGGCAGAGAGAGAGGGAGAAGCAGACTCTCCACTGAGCAGGGAGCCCGACGCGGGGCTCGATCCCAGGACCCTGGGATCATGACCTGAGCCGAAGGCAGCCGCTCAACCAACTGAGCCACCCAGGCGCCCCCTTCTTTAAATATTTGGTAGAACTCCCCTGTGAATCCTTCTGGCCCAGGACTTCTGTTTCTTGAGAAGTTTTTGATTTACTTTTTCAATTTCTTTGCTATCAGTCTGCTCAAGTCTTCTATTTCTTCCTATTTCAGTTTTGGTAATATATTTTTCTAGGAACTTATCTAATTCTTCCAGATTGTCCATTTTGTTGGCATATAATATTTCATAATATTCTCTTATAATTGTTTGTATTTCTGGGGTGTTTGTTGTTACTTCCCCTCTCTCGTTTACAATTTTATTTGGGTCCTTCCTTTTACTCTTTCATAAGTCTAGCTAAAAGTTTATCAATTTTATTAATTTTTTCAAAGAACCAACTCCTTGTTTCATTGATCTGTTCTTTCTTTTGTTTTTGTTTTTTTTTTAGCTTCTATATAATTTCTGCTCTAATTTTTATTATTTCCCTTCTTCTGTTGGCTTTAGGTTTTGTTTTTCTTTTTTGAGTTCCTCTATGTATAAGATCAGGTTGTTTGTTTGAGAATTTTCTTGCTTCTTGAGATAGGCCTGTACTGCTGTATACTTCCCTCTTAGGACTGCTTTTGCTGTATCACAAAGATTTTGGACCACAGTGTTTTCATTTTCATTTGTTTCGATTTATTTTTTTTAAATTTCGTCTTTGACTTCCTGCTTGACCCATTAATTCCTTAGTAGCATGTTGTTTAACCACCATGTGTTTTTGGTCTTTCAAAACTTTTTCTGGTGCTTAACTTCAAGTTTCATAGCATTGTGGTCAGAAAATATGCATGGTATGATCTCATTCTTTTTGTACTTGTTGAAGCCTAGTTGGTGACAACTGTGATGTATTCTGGAGAATATCCCATGGGCATGCAAAAAGAATGAGTATTCTGCAGCTTTAGAATGACATGTTCTGAATATATCTGTTAAGTCAATGTGGTCCAGTATGTCATTCAAAGCCATTGTGTCCTTATTGATTTTCTGCTCAGATGATCTGTCCATTGATATAACTGGATGTTAAAGTTCCCTCCTATTGTTGTAGTATTATGAATGAGTTTCTTTATGCTTGTTATTAATTATTTTACATATTTGGGTGTTCCCAAGTTGGGGGTATAAATATTTACAATTGTTAGGTTTTCTTATTGGATAGTTCCCTTTATTATGACATAGTGCCCTTCATCTCTTTTTACAGTTTTTTGTTTAAAATCTAGTTTGTCTGGTACAAGTATCACAACTCTAGCTTTCTTTTGATGTCAGTTTGCAAGATCAATGTTTCTCTATCCCCCTCACTTTCAATGTAACAGTTGTCTTTAGGTCTAAAATGAGTCTCTTGTAGGCAGCATATAGATGAGTCTTCTTTTGTTGTTGTCATTTTGTTTTTATCCATTCTGACATCTTATGTCTTTTGATTGGAGCAATTTAGTCCATTTACATTCAGAGTAATTATTAATAGATATAAGCTTAGTGCCATTTTATTACTTTTTTTTTAATTGTCTCTGGAGATTTTCTCTCTTCCTTTCTAGTCTTTGTCACTTTTCATCTTTCCTTTCCACTCAAAGACTCCCCTTTAACATTTCTTGCAGGGTTGGTTTAGTTGTCACGAACTCCTTTAGTTTTTGTTTTTCTGGGAAACTCTATCTCTTTTTCTATTCTGAATAACAGCCTTGTTGGATAGAGTATTCTTGGCTGCAGATTTTTTTTCCCATTCAGCACATTGAATATATCTTACCACTCACTTCTGGCTTGCCAAATTTCCTTGGAGAGGTCTACAGCTAGACTTACAGGTCTTCCCTTGTAAGTCAGGGACTGCTTTTGTCTTGTTGACTTTAGGATATTTTGTTGTCACCATATTTTACAAATTTCACAATATGTCTTGGTATTGGCTTGCTTTTGTTGATTTTGATGGGAGTTCTCTGTTCCCCGTGGATCTTGATATCTGTTTCCTTCCCCAGATATGGGAAGGTTCCACTTTTATTTTTTTATTATTTTATTAAAGTTTTATTATTTTTCAAATAAATTTTCTGCCCCCTTTTCTCTCTTCCTTTTTTTGGAACTCCTATGATAGGAATGTTAGTATGTTTGATGTGCCACCTGTGTTCCCTAAGTCAATTCTCCTGTTCCATAACTCTTCTTTTTCTTTTTTGTTCTGCTTCATTTTATCTTCTATATCACTTTTATTTTATTCATTTATACTTCATTATCACTTCTATATCACCTTTATCTTCTATATCACTTATTCCTTCCTCTTATTCTTCCATCCTTGTGCTCATTGCATCCAGTCTGTTTTGAATCTGTTATTTTATTTTTAATTTCAGACTTTTTTTTTTAATTCTTTTATCTCTTCAGTAAGAGAGTCCCTGTAGTCTCCCATTCTCTCCAACCCAGTGAGTATATTTATGATTGTTGCTTTAAATTCTCCATCAGGTATATTACTTATATCTGTTTCAATTAATCTATGCCCATGACCTTATATTGTTCTTCCATTTGGGATGTATTCATCCATCTTGGCATTTGACTAAGTCTCAGTCTTCTTCTCTGTGTTAGAAAAGCCTGTTATGTTTCTTGCTCCTATGTGCAATGGCTTTATGAAGAAGAGGTCATACAGTGTCCAGGGCATGTGCTTCAGGGTGTGTCTCTGGTGAGTCCTGGTGCACTCTGCTATTGTATTGGCTGTTCTGTCCTTCAGGCCTATTTTCTGCAGAGGCTCTCCTTGCCTGCAGTAGGGAGTGTTTAGACCTTGGCTAGAGTGTGCTGAGTTTTAACTAGGTGTGCTCTGGTCTGCTTATTAAATGAGACCTGATTTTACTTCCACTAGAACTGAATCCTTGCAGAAATCTCTGGTTGGGAGATGTGGTGTGTGCAGGGGTTTCCACTGGTCTTCTAGGGAAGGAACCCACTGGGCTGGGGCTTAGGCACACTTTCCCCAGAAAAGCAGTACCAGCAGAGCACAGGGGGGCAGGACTTGATGTAATCAGGTTAGCAATCCAGTGTTGCTGTGGTGCTGTTTACTGAAGCTAGTTTATGCTGAAGGCAGGGGAGGGGAGGTCGGGGAGGTAAAAGAAGCCAGCTCCTTTGTCCAGGGAGAGACGTCTCTGTGCCTGCTGCTCTTAGGGAAGTACTTCCAGAAGAGCAAAAAATCTCTCCCTGTGTGTCCCATGCATTTTTCAGATCTCCATTTTCACACTGTCTCCAGGCTGTTTGCCTGCCAGGAGCAGCACAGTGCACCTTGGACCTTATCCCAGTCAAGCCTGCTGATCCTTAAAACTCCAAACTTTAGGGATGTGCTGTGGTGGGGTCCTGTGCTGATCTTCTGGAGAGGGTCTTGACACACTGGAATTGATGCAAATTTAACTGAGAAGGGCAGTTGCATCAGAGTGAGTGGCCTGGGACCTGCAGCAAGCAAGCCAGTATCAGGGTTAGCTTCCCTCAGCAGGTGTTTCTGCATCTATGCTGAGGGGGATGGGAGGGAAATGGTGCTGGTAGGCTCCTTTGTCTCAGAGAGGCATCTCTCTGAATGCCACCTCTCAAAGATGTGCTCCAGGAAGAGTGAACAATGCCTCCCCTGTAAGCCTTAGCCATTTCTCAGGGCCATCCACCCCTGGGTTCTCTCCATGAGCAGGTCAGCACCCTCAGGACCCTATCCCAGACAATCCCACTGACCTTTAAAACTCCAGCTTTAAGCCCATCTGGTTACAAGAACTCACAAAAATCAGCCCCTCTCATTTTCCCAGCCAATGACTTTGTGGAAATGGTCTCCTCATGTGTTCCTCTGTGGATTCTACTCTCCCTTACCTGTCTCCACAAATATGGTTCCCTCCCTTCCACAGCACCTGGAATCCATCTTTCCCCAAACCACATCACCACACTTCCTATCTTCTATAATGTGGCTTCTTCACCCCTTTTAGTTGTTGAGTTTGTCCTGTCAGTCTTCAGGTTGATTTATGGAGTATTTGGAATGATTTGATAGTTATCTAGTTGTATTGGTGGGAGAAGGTGAGCCTAGTCCTCCTATTCCACTGCCATCTTCTCTTCCTAAAAAACAGACTCTTAAAAACAGAGAACAAACTGGTGGTTACAAGATAGGTGGGGAGATGAGTGCAATTGATAAAGGGGATTAAGAATACACTTATCTTGGGGTGCCTGGGTGGCTCGGTTGGGTAGGCGACTGCCTTTGGCTCAGGTCATAATCCTGGAGTCCCGGGATCGAGTCCCACATCGGGCTCCCTGCTCGGCAGGGAGTCTGCTTCTCCCTCTGACCCTCCCCCCTCTCATGTGTGCTCTCTCTCTCAAATAAATAAAAAATTAAAAAAAAAAAGAATACACTTATCTTGATCAGCACTGAGAAATGTATAGAATTGTGTACCTGAAACTAATATAACACTGTATGTTAATTATACAC